TGGGCCCTAATGAGTATTATAAACACAGATGAAGCCCATGTTAAACACATCCGAGTGGTCTCCTTGCTCCCCACATGACTGCCAAATACAATAACATAAGTCCTTGGCTCATCTTCAGAAATGTTCCTGGGTCAATCCCTGCTCTGAATGAATGCTCTGGGGTCTTCTGACTTTTCAACAGATATTTAACCTAAAAAAATATCGCATTTTTTAACTATATAAAATTCAGAGCAAGTAAAAAGGCTAAAACACAAATACTAAAGGATAAAATATTTAAAAACATTTTTACATGCATAGTATTTTTTAAATCACAAAAATACACTATTTCTGGAAAACAAACTGCTGAGGCTTAACATTTTTAGCACAGATTTAACCTACTTCTATATACTTCGAAAAATAAGAATCCAGACTATAAACAAATTACCGCTATTTTTAAAAAATCCCCTACAAAAACATGCATAAATGCAGACATATAGGCCTAGACCATTTGTATCATACTGACTTTTAAGTTTTAACATATCTTCAATATATGTTGACTATGTTGTATTGTATTACTTACCAGGAAAGTCGTTAAAAACGCCAAAATTCTTGAGAGTTAGGATAACTTTTGTTGCACATTTCAGGGCTAAATTCAAAAATAAGCAGTTTCGATATAAAATGATCGACCCTACGGCGAACGTTCTCTCATCCCATCCGTTGGATGGACTGAGTCAGAAGGGGGAAAGTTAAACGTCAGCTAACTCAAATTTATGGACTTTCTGAATTGAAATTCTCAATCTCCATTGTATTTTGGGAGGAAATGTCTTGGAAAATGGGAGTGCAATGAAAGTTTGAAATACCGCCATCTGCTGACTGTAGAACTTGCCACAGATGCAACCTGGCCTTCAAAATGCTGAGGCATGTTATAGTTCATCTATTACCATGACGACAGAAGATTCAGAAAGTGCTCTTGGAACGAATGAAACGTTCAGGGGTGCGTTTCCCAAACCATCGTTAGCTAACTAATAGTGGTTAGTACCATTGAACTCTATTGGTAACGAAGGAACTTGCGAACATAGTTGCTTTTGGGAAACGCACCCCAGGTCAGATCAGTTCTTCAATTACTTTTTGTAAAACAAGTTTAAACAAAAACAAAAGTAAATACATAAACACTGCTTTTTTTGTACATATCTACATATATCTACATAAAAATATATTTAAAAAATGTAAATGTATGTAACACCGTGTGTGTGTGTGTGTGTGTGTATGTATATATATATATATATATATAGCAGCCCTCCACCAGTCGGGGCTTTATGGCAGAGTGGCCCGACGGAAGCCTCTCCTCAGTGGAAGACACATGAAAGCCCGCATGGAGTTTGCTAAAAAAACACCTGAAGGACTCCAAGATGGTGAGAAATAAGATTCTCTGGTCTGATGAGACTAAGATAGAACTTTTTGGCCTTAATTCTAAGCGGTATGTGTGGAGAAAACCAGGCACCTGTCCAATACAGTCCCAACAGTGAAGCATGGTGGTGGCAGCATCATGCTGTGGGGGTGTTTTTCAGCTGCAGGGACAGGACGACTGGTTGCAATCGAGGGAAAGATGAATGCGGCCAAGTACAGGGATATCCTGGATGAAAACCTTCTCCAGAGTGCTCAGGACCTCATACTGGGCCGAAGGTTTACCTTCCAATAAGACAATGACCCTAAGCACACAGCTAAAATAACGAAGGAGTGGCTTCACAACAACTCTGTGACTGTTCTTGAATGGCCCAGCCAGAGCCCTGGCTTAAACCCAATTGAGCATCTCTGGAGAGACCTAAAAATGGCTGTCCACCAACGTTTACCATCCAACCTGACAGAACTGGAGAGGATCTGCACGGAGGAATGGCAGAGGATCCCCAAAGCCAGGTGTGAAGAACTTGTTGCATCTTTCCCAAAAAGTCTCATGGCTGTATTAGATCAAAAGGGTGCTTCTACTCTAAATACTGAGCATGTGATATTTCAGTTTTTTTTTTTTAATAAATCTGCAAAAATGTCAACAATTCTGTGTTTTTCTGTCAATATGGGGTGCTGTGTGTACATTAATGAGGAAAAAAAATTAACTTAAATGATTTTAGCAAATGGCTGCAATATAACAAAGAGTGAAAAATTTAAGGGGGTCTGAATACTTTCCGTACCCACTGTGTGTATATATATATATATATATGCTTATCTTTTTTTCAATGAACAATCAAAACATCAATGTTTTCTTTCACTTTTTTTATTTTGGAATCTTAACACACATATATCAATTTATGTATGGATAAATTATTTAATATGATTAAGCATGATTGACTACATATATTCTTGATAGCAAATAGTCATATCTGATGTTCAATCTAAGTTCTCAACATATTTCATATACTCTTTATAAGTTGCAGGAAAAAATCATTTTTTGTTGAGAGAAGGGCTGAAATGAAGAAACCAATTTGGTAACTGAAAATGCTTGGTTTGTTTTGGGAACCAGCAATTGTTTCCTCATACATCAAATCCATCCAATCAGCTTTCTAGCCATAGCTCTGTCCTGCAAGTGAAGAGAGACACTGTTAATGGAATGGCTTCAAGAAACCTGCCATCAGCTTTTAGATCAGGACTAACACAAAAATAGGGTTAAATATACTGTAGATTAGGTACAAAATACAGCTGCAATGAAGAAAATGGTTTGGTTACCTATTCCGAGACTGAGGCGCAGACCTCCCAGAAACTGATTGGCGAGTGTGTTGTGATCCCAGACAGTCAATTCACAACAGGCCTCACTGAACTGACTTCCCCAGTTTTGAACCCATCATACACCATGTCATGCTGAGTCTTTTTTATAATGCGAGTCTTCTGGCGGCTTTTCTTTCTGGTATCTGGTAAAATTTAGCTAAGAAACAACAACAAAAAAAATAATTAGTGAATCTCACCTGTAAAGAATATGTCCAGGTCATAAATTCACCCCAAAATCAAACAAAAGAAATAAGAAATTTTAAGAAAATTAATTATATTTTTACAGTTAAATATTTGGCTGTCAATTGTGTTTGCATGATATGCGTGTGTAATATGTATGTTTATAAGTATATATAAATACACACACATACATGTATACATTTAAAAATATTTACGTGTGTGTGTGTGTGTGTATACACACACACATAAATATTTTTAAATGTATATATATATATATATATGA